TCGCTGAACACTGGTAGTTCGGTCCGAGGTTCGAATCCCGCGAACGGGCTGGCTGCACGGGCGTTTTCGTGGTTTTCCCCATGTGTAACGTGTATACGAGCCAGTTTCCCTTAGAAAGTCCTCCACGAAGGCATCCCTTCCCTTAGGCATATAGCCTCGAGGCTTTGCCATAATCACACACATACATACGCATTATAACTTTTAAAATGTTTATAGATTAAATATTTTGTTATTTTATTTTTTAACATTGCTTCTTTTTGTTTTTTACCCGATCAAACTGAAACTATTATTCTTTCTTCTGTACAATATATAATATACTAAATTGGTCGCCGATCAATCGACAAAATTATTTCGGTTGGTTTCTTTAAGACTACGTAATACACAACTACTCACCTCCAAAAAAAAAAAAAAAAAAAGGGCTTCTTAAACTACTTGCCACTACACTGGCCTCGTGTACATATTACACATGGGGAAACCATGAAAACGCCCATGCAGAAAACTCGTTTGCGGAATTCGAACTCGAACCGAACTGCCAGTGTTCAGCGACTTTACCGCTTTGCCGGCTGGTAAGCCAAAATTAGTTCGGAACTTCAGATTTAATATTACTGAAGCTAAAGTTTACAAGCCTTAATATCTTGAAAGCGATCACATCCAGCTTCTCAGATAAGGCTAGCTTAAATACTTATCATTTTAGCTTCCTCTTTTAAAAGTTGTCATTATATGAAAAAATAACTCTGCAGAGGAAACTTAAAAATGGAAACAGAAGAAAAGAAAAGTTTATTTCCTTTGCCTACAAGTGATTGAATTATTCATGAACGCTATATTTCTTCTTTCTTATACGTGAATTTGAGATTTATATTGACTTAAAGTTTTACTGTCTTCTTTTGAAAAGACGGATATGTTACTTCTGTAGTAAACTCTTTAACTTCGTCCCGTTTCTCTCCAAAAAAAAGATTCAGAATATTGCATTTTAAAATATTGGATGTTATTCTTAAATTAATTAATTTTATTAATGTAGCTATCTTTGTTTATCTGTGTAATATTAATTATTATCGTGTTTTCAAAGATATCGTGTGCATTTCACTCTGATTTTGAATTCTTCTAAAATTTTGCCGATGGTACATATATAATTGCAAATGATTCTTTCAAATGAAGTTACGTTTCATAGGTTTGTAAAATTTCAGTTTTTAAGGAAGATTAAAGAGCTAATTTATTAATTAATTAATGGCAAGAAATTTTTCGCTAGTAATTAATGAGAATGTGAAACTTCAGGATTTTTATTTATAAAAATATTTATATTCATTGATTAAAAATTTATTATATATTGCAGTATATAACGATTTAAGATATTAAGAATTACAACTTGTAAATAAATAAATAAAATTACAAAATATTAAACTATATTGTGTTATGAGAACCTAACAAATGCTACGTGTTATTTTTGATAATCTATTAAATGATTTTGATTTACAATAATTTTGATTTTATAAGTTATATTACGAAATGCTCAAGTATCGGACTAAACATTTGGAATTCAGGATCTGTATTTTGGCTTTTCTCAACCTCTCAGTCTCAGTTACAAGCTATAATTATGATTGATACACAGATTGATGAAAATTTATGTGTAACTAATGCATGCGTAATACGTTATAATGAAGATGTTTATAAAAAAACATAAGCTGTTAAGTTTCATTCGGAACAAATAGTTAATGGATATTCAACAAAAAATACATTCCTTACTCCAGAAATGTTTGCTTTTAATTTGAATGACAAGATGCTGCGAATAGAGCTTTAAACCGAATTCATTTATCATTAGCATTTTTACTTGGTTTTTAAAATATATTGTATGCGTACGCTTGTAAATACACACCAGCATATGCTAAGATATAAATTCATTGGTTAAAGCTGAAATTCTAAAAACGTTCTACTGCTTATGTTCTTACATAATTAAAAACATATGCTTACTGAAAATAAAGGCCACTAGGACAAATCAACATAGCTTTTAAATAACTTTACTTGCAGTAACTGATATTCAGTACAGGAGTCCTGAAAATGTACAACCACTAAAAATTACGTATATTCCGCAATTTAAAATCTAAAAATAAGTAATAAAATTATTTTTAAACGGTATTAATTTCCATGCTCTAAAATGTGAAATAACTTGTACGAATTCTAGCAGAATTTTGCTTGCATAAAGCTATAATGAAAAGCATTTGCTGCCATTTTAAGAACTTCAAATTAAATTAGATATTTAGTGAAAGACGTAGCAACAGAAGTTACTTGATTATAGTAGAAGGAATTACTTAAATATTTAATCCTAATTTTTATTAATACTATAGGAAATAGGAAGAGAAAGTTCAAAGATTATTTGTGAACTAACTACAAGGAAAATAATTATGTAACTGAATATTGTAACTTTAATGCTATTTTTTGGAACAAGCATACAATCTGGAATGGAAATTACGCCACCGTGAGCCACTGTAGAATCAACAATATACTCCATAGTATCCGTAAATTCGTTTACCCTGAAATAGGATGAAAATGAATATGGAACTCCCCTTAATTAAAAAAGTAAAAGAATATTTGAATATAGTACCTCTTTTACGAGCTAAAATGACTTATTATTTTCGAAGTTATAATTATTGTTACATTTTAGTTTACTTAATGAAATTGTAATTAATTAGTTAAATTTAGCGAGAGTCTTTCGAATTTATTTCACAGTCTGTGAAATCATGTATACATATTTTACAATAATGAGAGTTTATACTAAACTAGTTACTTAAAACTCTGCAATCTACATACAAAGTGGCAAACGTTAATATGCCATTCTATATCATCTTAAAAAAATGTTTCAGGATATGCGATACCCGAAATATTAAACACCACTTTTCCTAGACTTCTCTTAATGCAGAGGCTTTATGATTTGGTTTCCTCTCATTCCAAAAAAATATCTTCTGTGATACAATGTAGCTTCAATTAAAAATAAAAAAGGGAAATTAAATGAATAAGAAAGGGAATTTAAAAAATCTGGAATAAGAGTAAAACTCCGAACAACAAATAGATTTCGAAAATTTTTTAACGAAGGTTTCTTAAAAGGAGGAAACTCAAATTTCGTGCATGCATTTCATTTTGTCTGAGTTCCATGAAATTTCTGTTTCAGCATTCATATCTATACCCAAAATTACCGAAATGATTAACTTGCAAAGGGTTTGCAATACTGTTATCATTTCATATCTGTCAGGCTGTATCTTATTAAGCTAAATTTGGGATCAACGAAAAAGATCAGAATTTATCTAGATTTAGGGCAGACAAATGAAAATTTGTCAATTCAAATCTTTTATATTCTCAGGAGCAGAAGTCTGTAAAATAGAACTTGCACTTATCTCAAATAAATATTTAAACTATAAAGCACAACTAGATTCTTTATGATTAATTATCGATCTCATTTTGAAGAATGTAAAAAAAAAATAACCATTCAAGGCAGCATAACACCTTAATTCTAGGTTTTTACCTTACATCTGTTATCTATGAATTTTAGCATAGTGCTTCGTACATTCCGAAAACAGTAACAGATTTTTGCTTTCTTTTTTGAATAGTATTACTGCACAAAAATGAAATGCGAATTTAGTGTAAAACTTTCTCTGTCAACAGACGGACAGTTTTATAAAGCAAGTTCAGTTACTTCCGTTAAAGTAAAGGTGCTCTTCGTAGCTTTCTGGTTGGGAAGTGAACTTTCTATGGATGTCTTCAGGTGTTATATAGACATTTATTTAATCCAAATAGGAAAGGAACTGAGAAAATGTAGGGAAATATTGCTTCAGTAGTTCTAATGTTCGAGGTTTCTCACAGCAAGGCTTCTAAATTTTAGAGAGGTAATGATATAATTATGCATGAAAATTTCCAAACGTATCTTTGAGTTATTATAAATTTTCTTTTCTTCTTATATCTCAGCTCTTAAACTCCAGGGTTCTGTCGATCATTAAAAATTGTAATTGTCTCAAATGGTTTGGGATCTATATAAGAACTAAAATAAGTTTGGAGAAGAGTGAAATATAATCTTACGTTGAACATTTGCAAAGGAACTAATATTTACATTCCTTATATGATCAAAGAAATTTCAACCGCATATTTAAATGCTTATATAATATGTCACCCCAAAACTTAATTTTTATAATAATTATAACGTTTCTGACAGTTACTATCAGATTTAAAATAAAAGACACAACTTTATGCAGAGAATCTGCATATTAGTTGAAATGAATCTTCGATTTTAAAAATTACTGTAAAATAGCAGTTATTTATTTCAGTTGAAATTCTCATTTCTGGGACTTTTTTCTTTTCTGTGTCGCTTCCTTTTGATAAGGTTATTTGCATTCCTATTACTTAAAGCAGAAAAAGACTGAAAAACGTATTCATTGGATCAAAAACAAATTCTAAAATATGTGTGACAATGGTCAGGGCTCATCACTGCTGCTGAGCTTTCAGAAGCATTAAGCTATCATTGAGTAGATGTGAGGAAATAGAAGGAAAGTAAAATATTTATACTAATCACAGATGGAAATCTCTGAACTCATTTTTATATGTGTACCAATAAACCTGAGAAAACCTTTTCATGTAATATTTGCACAGGTAATTATTTTTTAATATTGCTTTTATTTAAAAATCTTTTAATTATTTGTATTACATAAGCTATATCCAACAACGATTAAATTCGTATTAATATAAACAGTTCTTAATGCAAAAAAAAATAATAAATAAAATATGAGTAGCTCTTGTGCCTGATTTTCAGAAGCGAGTAACGTTTCGAACGTGTAAAACTGGTACAAAAAGTGTGTTTTCTGTTCCTCTATATTTAGTTTACTCAGTAAAAGAAAAACTTTGTTCCTTTTATAGAACACAATTTGATTACTTTGTTAATGATATAAGATATAGTTTATAATTAACTCATGCATAATTTATAAATTTTTCTGTAGAAACTAATAATGCTTTGTTCTTTTCAGGTGAACAACCATCGAAACGAGCTCGTACTGCGTACACTAGCGCACAGTTGGTTGAATTGGAAAAAGAATTCCACTTCAATCGTTATTTATGCAGGCCCCGAAGAATAGAAATGGCTTCCTTACTGAATCTTACTGAGCGTCAAATCAAAATATGGTTCCAAAACAGACGTATGAAATATAAAAAAGAACAAAAATCAAAGGGGCTTTATAATCAGTCTACAGAAAAAGAAATTTCCAGCACATTAGGAAGTGGAGCAGGTTCATCCCCTCTTTCTCATTCACCAACATCTACAGTAATTCCGTCAAATACGAATTGTAGTGTTGGAAATACATTAACCCAGTCTCTCAATACCGAATGCACACCAGTGCAATCAGTAGCTCCATATGGTTTGCATTCATCACCCAACTCTTGTTCAAGCATTAATTCCTGTTCCATTCGCGTGAATTCCGATATTTTATTAAGTTCACCAAGCAAATTGTCTGCATCACATCAGTCTGTGTTCAACACTTCAAATGGAAGTAAGTTATATCCTGCTTCAAATATGTCTCGAGGAATCCAGTACCAAAATGCATTCACTGATAAGTCAGCTTTTCCTCATCGTCATATGCAACATGAGTCTTCGTATTCTCAAAGTGATGCAGATAAAAAGCGTCTTATGTCATCTCCCTCTGCGTCATCTACGCCTTCTCACTGTGTTTCCACTCCACCTTCACCAGCGTCGCCATTTCAGCTTAATTTTAACCAACAAGCCTTAACTGATCCACAAGATAATCCTTTCCCTTCGGAAAGTGATACTGCACTGAAGAACAACGCCTTCTATTACAATACAGGTGTTGCAGCAAGGCTTGTTGTTCAACCTCATCCAGCGTGGGATCAAACTAATATGCATATGCCATTTCAAAACAATATGCAGAATTCTATGGGTTTACTGTGCACAGCTGTTGATTATACAACACCAAATAATGTTCGAGCGATTGTGAATAATTCAGCGTATCAAAATCAGCTGCATTCTGGATCATATTACTATCACCATCCTCAACAGATGATTGCTAGTGGACAGATGTCTCATGAATGGTTAGTTCCAGCTCAGGAAGCAAACAGAGGCCCGAAGTACACGGTACCTTCTTCACCACCCAAATTGGCACATTTATGATTTGCATGCAGAACACAAAGGTCTTTTGTCAGTGAAAAAAATATTATGTGCTATAAAAGTGCATTTTGGGAATGCAAAGAAATTATTAAATAGAGAATTATTAATAAATTGGTACATTTATGACTTGCATGCAGATCACAAAGCTCTCCTTTATTTGTGAAAAAAATATTATGTATTATTCAGTACATTTTGGGAATGCAAAGGAATTATTTTCAGAAAGAGATATATATTCCTGCATAAAGCGCCTATGTGCTAATATTGTTTATTTAAAGCGAAAGGAAGTGGTTTAAACAGAAATAATATTTTATTAACTAATCTTATATTACTCAAACAAGTTCCCACGGAGACTCTAAATTGTGCGAGCAACATACTCAGGCTAATGAATGAGCTTGAAATCCTTAACTCTTCAAACAGCAACTTATTAAACTGCTACTCGAATTCTTTCAAGGACTAGAATTCTCAAACTTAATTTTTTTAAATAGCATCAAAGACAATGAAACTAATTATAAAGCTATTATTTAACTATTTTATGTAAAATAGTGTGTTTTGTTCTTTACAGATAAGAATTATGAAAAATTACGATTTATAATTAGTGATGAGCATTTTATGTTTACTGATCACTTATTCTCGTTTAGAGAATAAATATCAGCTTCTTGTGGTGATATATGAAAACCGAAACGAAGAAAGAAATTCGGTGTTTTGTGTAAAAAGGTTGCTTTGACCAAAAATTCGTCCAGATATTCTGCTTTTGTCCCAAGATATTTGATAAAATAAAAATGCTTTGTTAATAATAACAGTATAAGCAATTTGTATCGCATATTTTATGCATAATATTAATAAATTTTTAAACTATTACAAGCAATATTAAAATTAAGCTCTTTGCTATATAAAAATCAATTTTTATTAAAAGGCAAATGATATATGTACACATATAAATCTGTAGGATTATACAGATTATACCGAATATCAAATAATGTTTAGATTTTTAGCAATGCTCAGTGCTTTGTTTTAAGCAGCATTAGTCTAAAATAAATTCTATTAGCAATTTACTTTAAATATTTTTAAGAAAACTCCACTTGATGCTAAAAAAATAATCTAGCATTTTCGTAATAGATTAAAAATTAGTTTATGTAAAATTTTCTGATCTTTAGATCAGAACTTCCGAATTCATTGCAAAACACTACAATAAAAGCAATAAACAAAATTTAGCTAATTTGATACAGTTATTTGTACCATGTTGTAGGCTGAAACATAAAAGCTGTATCTCACATTAATCACTTTCATGTTTATTGATACAAAAAAGAAGAGATTTCTTTTTGTTAGCCCAAATGCTTTTTATTTGGGTATAGGAATTTAAAATAAAAACTAAATTTCCTTAATTATGAAGATCTTGTAATACTCCATACTAGACATTACATTCTGTAAGCAAGAAAACAAAAGGGTTTTTTTAAAAGTATCTTTTACATCTCTTACATTTTTATGGTATATTTTCTACTTATCTTAATCGTCATTCCTTTACATTAAATATAAAAAAAAATTAAATTTATTATCGTGTAAATCAGGGTTTCTTAAATTTTTTTTCAGTCTCGACCCCTTTTTATCACTGAGATTTTTTCGCTACCCCTAGGACCCCATAATATTTATAAAAAATTTGTGGGACCTCATAAGTATTGCGCAAATCCGACACACGCGTGAGTGAATCTGGCAATTGGCAATTTTTTCACTTGTATTGTAATATACTATTGCAGTTTTAGGTTCATTAACTTTAATTTCTAATTTTAAGACATAGAACAATGTGAAAATTTTAAATAAGTAACAGACGAAATGACAGCGTCATGTGCAAAGCAAGGAAAATTAACGTTTATAGTATAAAAAAAGAATACGTCCAAACTTTTTCGTTTGTTTCTTTGTCTGCATACATTGTTTCTTTCTCAGATACATTGTGTAATTATTATAATAAGTTAAAGAAATATCAAAACTGCTAAAATTTTTGGCGACCCCCTGCTACAGGTCCCACGATCCCCTTGGGAGTCGCGACCCACAGTTTAAGAAATCCTGGTGTAAATAATAGACTTACAATTAAGTAGATTCATGAATCAGTTTAATGTTAGAATGTGCGATATGAAGTATTTTGGCACCACGTTCAATATTTGACAAAAGGAACTTTAATTAAAATTTACAATTATATTATTCGACTGAATATTTTATGTGAACCAAAAAAAAAAAAAAAAAAGATCTCAAGAAGCATATTATTGAAAACTGTCTCAACAGAAAGAAACATTTTACTACATATCCATTTATTTCAATACTGCGATATTCAGTTTTTTTTTTTTTTTTTTTTTTTTTTTTTTTTTTTTTGTATTTTATGTATATTTTAATTTTCAAAAGCAGAAGGGAAAAAATCCTTCAGCGAATGCAGTGTAATGAAAGCTTAAGGATATTGATTAAAGAATAAACACATGTGAAGGATGCTTTGGGTAAGATTATGGAATTAAAATTCTTAAGCAAACAGGTCATGTTCTAAAAGTCTCATTTTCACCATTAAGTATTCCAGTAGATTCGTAAGTAACATCAGTCTGTCGTGGGTTTCAGCCTTAGTCAAAATCCAGAATCGTACCCACGTGGACAACAATTTTGCAATATGAGGACAACAATTTTGCAATATGAGGACAACAATTTTGGAATATGAGGATCCGTGATGGATAAAATGTGATCTTAAATCTATCATAGATAAACTGCCTTTTGAAGGGACAAACTAAACAGCATATCTGCATCTTGAAATTAACCATAAATGCTTAAACTGGAAAGAGGGAATGCAATACATAAATAAATCCATTATGTTTTTCATGCTTTTATGTTCTATTACGTTTTTATATTTTTCTATTATGTTATATACACTAGCTTTAAAAAATTCATAAGTATTTATTTCACTCTCAGTTTTGAAAAACTGAGATCATTTCGGAACTAGCACATAAAGAGCAGTACCCTGGCTCATATTTAAACCTGGAATATACCTTCTGCAAGTTCAGATGACTTACTAAAGTTGAGATACAGCTTCGAGAAATTTGTTTTTTAAGATTTGCTTACAGTGATTTTTCTTTTGATCTTGGAATACGAAAAGCCGGAATTGACCTTTAGCATTTTATAAGGTATTTTTCTCTCGCCTTACAGCGTACCTTCGTGGAGTAATTGGAAGTATGCCCGGCTTACAATTAAGCCACGAAGTCTCAAATGATCCAGACTTCGAATCCCATCAATAGTATTGCATATTTTTCCCGTTACCACCTCTGGAATAGACCTAGAGTCTACAAGCAGCGCCCAAATTAAGAGGAGGTGAAAGATAATTCGTCATTAACAGGGTTTGGCGATTAGGCGCCGGCCTCGCCAGTCGCCATTTATGTGGGGAGAATGTAAGGTATTTTCGCTCTCTTTACCGTCTGCCTTTGCGGTGTTATTGTTGGTTGCCTTCAGCTAGCAATCGTAAGGTCCAGAGCTCGATTCGCGACTAGGGTACTGCACATTTTTCACATCTCCTGCACCAAAATAACATGTTCAGTAATCTCTACCATTTTGACAACTGTTTGAAGCTCGACATGCCATGAGTGTCTGCAAGTACGGGCAGAATTCCTACTTTTCGTACATTTCAAATGAATTATCAATAAAGGCTTTAATTTCTATTGCAGTCTAAAGTCAGAACCAGACGAACAAATGTTTTCAACAAGCTTTATTCATATTTACGTTACGTCACATTTATGAATTGTGACTTAAGTGTAAGAAAAGTATGAGGGAAAAGGAAGAGGAAATCTCATCATGTCGAAGTTTGAAAACAATAAATGTAAAGTATAAGGCGGTACAGATATTTCGAAATATCTGTACGTATAGATATTTCTTTCCTTCCGTTATTAAATATCTTCACATTTAATAACAGAAGGAAAGAAAATCTGGATATGTATTGTATCTGTAAGGTCATTTTTCATTGTAATGAAACTTTCTTCTAAAAATGGTTTCCTAACTATCTGTTGTGTTCCTAACTATCCATCACTGGTGTCACTAGAACTGTTTAGAATATCACACGATTAACTATTACTTTACACTAGCAAAGAAATAAAGGCATTTGAAAAACACTCTCATCCCTCCAAACTGTAACTATTACTATATATTACGCACAATTTGCGAGCATAAAGCAGTAGATTCTATGATGATTTTAGAGCTTAGGCTTTGAATCGAAAGTACGTAAAATGACTTAAATTTATTAACATGAGGTCTAAAACGCTTGAGGGTTACTTGATTAAAATAAAGAGGACTTCGTAGAGGCTTTTCTAAACAAATAAATTGTTAGAGAACTTTTTAAAATTAAGATGAATAGTTAAAAAGGAAATTAAATATAAGTATGTATATAAACTGGTCTCCTATGGCTCAAGTCACAGTATAAGTGAGTATCTATTCAGTATCCTTTTAAGAAGTTTTATCTATCAGTATTTTTGAAGTGTAATTTTAGGATTTAAACCTAAGGGAGGACTTAATATTTTTAATCTACTTTCAAATAAAAATTTATAAAACACGGAAGCAAGTATTTTTTTATTATTTTAATTAGTAAAACTCATTTTGTATATCTAGAAATGTACATATTTTTCCTTTAAGTTAAAAATTAATCAATCAGCTTTGAAAATTCTTTATCAAAAGTCAATGGTATACCTTGAATACTAAATATGCATTTGTTTTTTCCCAGTTTCTCATTATAATCGTTAAATCTGATCAAATGAGGGAAAGGGAGAAAAAAATCAAGGAAGTAGCTGCCTAAAAATTTAAGCATGACGCCATGAGCAAGTAAAACACTTAAAAAAAAAAAAATCCGATAAACACAGACTGAATATATATTTTTTGTCATTTCCCCCCAGAAACACACCGTTTTCTAAATGAAAGGGGGGAAAAGGGAGAAAACGCATATAATCCAGAAGAACAGCAAGAGTACGCATGAGAAAAAGCACACCTGATTTCCATAGAAGTGAAGCCCTTTTTTCTAGCTTTGTGAGTATTTTTGAATATCTACATACTTAAATAAATAAGCCAGAGAAATATAAGCGAAGTTTGTACAGAAGTAAATTGCAAAGCCGGTAGCTGTTATTCGCTACAAGGAAACATCATAATGGAAAATGGAAGATAGGAAAAAGGGGGAAGAGAGAAAACCTAGCACATGACGCCCGGAACTCCCAGGGACAGGGTGCGTATTACCTTGAAACTTTCTCCAATTGTTGATCATTATTATCATTTTTTCTCTGAACTTCCATTGCCTACTTACCAATAATGCTGATAAAAGTTTTTTGAAAAAGCAAAAACCTGCAGACCCAGTCTTCATAGTATATATTACATCTAAGGATAACACACTACAGTTATACATCGCGCTCATTGGGTAGAAATTCTACTTTACATGAAATAAATTTTTATTTAGTTATAATTTTCCTTTAGCAATGCTTAATTAACTATGGTTGGTTATATAATAATCTTCAGAGGTAAGCAACTATTAAACTAAAGGAAGAACAATCAGATTAAATTTCTCGAATGCTGAATTACTATTTTAGTTCATATGCATTTATTATGGATTAGTGTGTCATTAATGAAGAAAATGTGTTCATATAACTATTAATTATATGATAGCATTTCCTTCAATTCCTTGATTAGCAATATTTTAATAGAAATTTTTAAAATAATGTTAATTTGAATGTGAATGGGAAATATGATGGTTAACTCTTTTAGCTCTTTTTGCTTTACATTGCAAGAGAAGACCAATAACGTAAGACATCTAATAAAGCTAATATTTTTGAGAGATTTGGCTTAGTTTCTCTTTTAATCTCTCAATCTCTCTCTCTCTCTCTTTATTATATAAGAGTATTTATTTGTGTATATTTGTCTTCAAATAAACATATATTGTTTCTTAGTTGTGCGTCTGGAAACTAATATACAGATGTCATTTTTATAACCAATATAGATCTCGTTTTATAAAGTTTTAAGATCCTGCTTCATTTATTTTCTAGTAGCAAAAGCGTTTTTAATGACTTTATTATAGGTAAGTTTTAATGACTAATAACCTAAAAGCCATAACAAATAGCTTTTTAATATGTTTATACTATCATCGTATTTATTGCAAAGATAATCTTTGAGGATGTAATATTACATACAACGTAAACTA